TTCACTCTAAAATACTCCAGCCAGTCATCACAATTGAAGACCACACAAACTGAGTCGAGTTCACCAATGACATTACCACACTTCAGGGCTGTGGACCACCGGAGACCTTGACGTCTTGCACTAGGACTTCTCGCCCAGTCCAAGGGTTTTCCGGTGGGTCCATCCATGAAGTCAAGCACTCAGATCTTTGCCCACAAGGAATCCTGGTTGCCATCCGGCGCAATGAGCTTGGCTTGGAACTTCACCTTAATGAGGTCAAGAACAAAGCAAAGCGCTGCAATGCAAAAGTTACTCTTCTCAAAGACCTCTGACAGGTCTTCTTTTCTAACTGGTTGGAGGCCATCGCTAGTATGTTGGAGGCCCTTGCTCTTCAACCTGTAACAACGCTAACGAACCGTCTTCGAAAAGCTTCCTCCCCCACCTTCGTCTCAACCGAGCAAGTCAGCGGAAACTCCATAACCCCGCAGTCTTGGGTCGCCGAGTGGCAGGTTCCCTTCGTTTGCTCCATATAGCTGCCTGGTGATAAAGAGAAACCCTAGCAACAATAGCGCTTGGAGGCCATCGCTCTGGGTTAAAAGCCATGGCTCTATTCGGTTGGAGGCAAGACTCTAGGCCAGGAACTCAAATGTTCGGATCAGGTACGCCTGGAAAACTATCACTGCCCATTCAAAGCACATCCAACCCTGAAGTACGCTGAAGTAGCTGGGCCTTGCTTCTGGAAGTTCCCATTCACATAGAGTGCTTTTGGATGCCCATTCGGTCACGGTCAGACTCACCAGAACGAAGTCCGCCAAGAACTGCGCTCGCCGGAAGTCCTCCACGTCTCTGTCGCTGTCACTGAGTCGGACGCTCCATCAGTCCCTATGCCCAGCGTCCAGCGACCGAGCCACGGTTATGACAAAGGAGATACGACTCAGTCTTTCCTGAAACAATTAGGTCGGAACTTCTTTTCACTTCACTCGGTTTTCTATGTCGTCTTTGGACTTTCAAAAACTGTGCAGGTACCGTGAAGGTACTTCGACGTTCGCCTTGCTCAGACCCTATGAAGAGACCTCCCAGCAGACCGAAAGGGAGCTAATTTTCGGACCGGACTGGAGTCCTCAAAACGAAGAACCATGAAGAACCAAATGCTCGCGACTCAGGCTGCTCGGGTACTCGGTTGGGCTTTGACGCATTGGCAATCGCTCGAGGCGCTCTTTGCGTGTGGCGTGATCCAGAAGGGTGGTCTTCCACTCAAGGAACAGGTCCGGGATTTGTATTAATATTATGTATTAATCCAGTGGGGAGTAATGATATTTTCGAGACTCCTATGTTATCATCACTGATATTCACTGATTCTTGGCCCAGTCTCGCGCTTGCCAATGATGCCGGAGGCCAAAGAAGCGCTTGAAGCACCCATGCAGCGCAGTGAAAAATCATGGAAAAAGAAGCTGGCTTTGCAGGTTTGTTTCTTGAGGATATTGACCAAGCCCAGCCATTCGACCCACAACTGCGAAGAAGCAGCGTGGTAATTAAATGTGATTAACATGTTTTTGTTTTCAATTCTTTTTCTATCGGTATCTGTCAGCTAGCTGTTTCAAACTTAAGATACCCGAAAGTAGCTTTAAAAATGTAATTGACAAAACCCCCCACCCCCCCCTTAAGATGGAGATCATCCGGAGGCTCAGTTCTAAGGCTGCAGTGCACGGGCTGCACGTTCCAGAGGCTCCCTCCCCAGGCTCCCGCCTGACGCAGGCAAGGCTGCGATGCAGGAGTAGGCCAAAGGCGCTGGGAAGGGTTTGAAGCCGGGCCAAAATGCTTAACGTTGCTTTCGGAAGCCCATAAGAACAGAAGAGGCAGGCCTGGAACAGGCGAAGAGAAGAGGCAGGCCTGCCAGCTGCCGAGAACGGTTTGGGGCGGTCCAAAATGCCTAACGTTGCTGGCTGGCCTGCCAGCTGCCGAGAAGGGTTTGAGGGCTGCCGAGGTGGCAGGTTCCGGAGGCTCAGTTCTAAGGCTGCAGTGCACGGGCAGAGGCTCCCTCCCCAGGCTGCGATGCAGGA